TCCTGGGGATAGGCTCGGTCAGGGAGTTGCTCAAAATCGGTCCCGATGCGTCGCACCTTTTGATGGGCAAGCTTACCTTCTCGGCACGTTTACCGCTCTCCGGGAAGAAAATCGTGCTCTTGGCTACCGACCCCCAGTTGGCTCAGAGCATTGCAGCTGAAACTCCTCGTCTCGCTGGTGCAGTCAAGTTCTCGTGTCGAAACCTCGGGATTGACTATCAGCTACGTCAGGGGCGTAGTTCTCGTCCTGAACTTACTGGCCGATTGAAAAAGGCCAGGTTTAAGGCCCGTCGCTTATTGAAGATAAAGAAGGCTGGTGCAAAGGTAGCAGGTATTGTAAACACTAACTTGCGGCCCACTGTCATGTGCGGCATTGACGTCGTCGGTCTATCTACTCACCAGATTCGTCAGGTCCGTGCTATATACCACGCTGGTCTCGGCACAGGTAAGCGTAGGTCTGTCACGATGGATTTGGCGTTGCATGGTGTTACCGATCCTGCTATCGATGCCCATGCTGATGTTATTCGTATCTGGACTGTCTCTAGATGGGACTCTCTTCTTCCTGTCGGAATGATAGATCAAGTTTTCCAGTTTGCCTACGCCAAGGTGACGCCAGATACCCCGTGGACTGAATTGCAGGGCCCAGGACAAATTTTGGTTGCCACTATGCGTAGAATTGGGTGGTCTGCGGTTTCGCCTACAATATGGCGTACTTCTCTTGGAACCGACGTTGATATTTCGTCTACTTCCCCTCGTGAAGTGGTGGCACTAGTGATTCGCGACGCGTCTGTCTGGTCCTGGAAACAGGCCTCTGAGCGTCACCCATCCTTCAGTCACCTGTCTGCCCCCCCCCCCCTTCTTCCCCCTCTTCTTTCCCTTTTGTCTAAAAAGACTGAAGGATGGGGTGTCCTCCAGCAACGTGCTTTGAGGACCTTTTTATCTGGGGGCATTTACTTTAAACCTGTGTGCCCCATTTGCCAGGTCGCCCCCTCTGACCCCGTGTTTCACACCCTGTATGAGTGTGATGGGCTTGTGGAGTTTCGTCGTTGGTTCGGCCCGACTCCAGCCCTCGCCCGTTGCATAGAGCAGTACCGCGAGAACCCTGTCTGGACCACTGCCTTGGTTCCCGACCCTCGCTATTGCTCCCTGCTCGCACCACCTTTTCCAGACCCTGTCTGGGAAGGAGCCACAGACGGCCCCTTCTTCTCGTCGCCCGCGTTTGGAGACGGCTCGGGAAAGCATGGTCCCTCGCCGCTCACTCTCCGCTGTGGATGGGGCGCATGCTCATTTGCCCCGCGTAGTCGCAATGTTTTCGGAGAGGTCATCGCCAATGATCGGCTTCGGCTTAATGCTGGTGCATACGGCGTATATCCCCCTCTCACCCTGGATGTCTCAGGGGCTGAGCTTTATGCGTTTTTATGTTACCTAACCCATGCTGTCCCCTCTGTCTGCTATGAGTTTGTCACCGATGCCCAGTACGTTGTGGACGGATGGGCATTGGGGTATGAAGCTACCACGCACGGATGGGCCACTCACGCATCCTTGTGGGTACGTGTCCACCGTGCGGCTTCAGATATTGGGTATCATTTAATTAAGGTCACCAAGGTTCGTGGCCATTCTACCTCTGCTGGTAATAAGCAAGCGGACAGACTTGCTAACCTAGGTGCTGACCTACACACACTGGACACGGTACTGCACGACCGTGTCAAGCGCTCTGGATTGCTTGTGCGCAATCTTGGTGTGTATATCGGGCATTGTATAGCATGGATTTTCAAGAACGTGCCCAAAAAGGTTTGGGTGGTGGATTATGATGAGCCCCCCGCCCCCACGGCCCCATCCCTAGTCCTCTCTGGTGCCTCCTCTGGGGCATTGCATGAGCACTTATGGGACCCCTGGGCGGGTCGGTTTCGATGCTTGAATTGCTGGGCTAGTTCATTTCCCAAGAGCTATTTATTGCGTACACAGTGTTCTTCTCCCACTGGCGGTGGGCACGTGCTCAGGCGGCTAAATAATATCATATTTTGTCGACGATGCGGCCGCTACTCGTGCAAGAAAGCAGCTGGTTTAACTAAAGTATGCACTGGCCCCCCTCGGGCCTCTGGCACCATCTCACGGCTTCGACGCATGTGTGATGGTCGTGACCCCTGCACTGGTCAACCAGTCGGTGAGGTCACTGCGGTTGACAATGTCAACGTTATATATGCCTTTCCTGCCCCTCACGATGTCTTTAATTTTCAGGCATTGTTTGATCCTGCATGGCTTCTAGAGGCCCCGTAGATTTCTCGTGTATATTTCGGAGGTGGGGTGGATGTAACGGTTCTGGTGTGTGTGCTGCCCACCGAGCCGCACGGGCACGCCTAGGGATATCTGGTCTGTCTCGTCTGTCTGATGCGGGCAGGACGACTCGGATCCCCGACACCAGCCGCCAGAAGCGTCGTTCTGCCGTACTCCCCTTCCTGGCCGCCACAGAGGACAGTCTCCAGGAAGTAGGGTAGGCTTGGGATAAGTGGGTACAGAGGCGCTGAGAAGCAGGCACCCGTTCCGCCTGCGCCCACTTATCCCGTCTGTGTTTTTGCCATTCCTCCCCTGGCCAGGCTCGCAAAGAGAAGACTCTTGCCTGCCCGCCGCGCGGGGATAGCTGTGCACGCCTCTCTGTCTGTGCTTCCTTCTCTCTACAGTCGGACAGTCGGACAGTCGAAGTGTAGGATAGGCTTGGGATAAGTGGGTACAGAGGCGCTGAGAAGCAGGCACCCGTTCCGCCTGCGCCCACTTATCCCTTCTGTGCTCTTGTCATTCCTCCCCTGGCCAGGCTCGCAAAGAGAGAAGACTCTTGCCCGCCCGCCGCTTGGGGTTTTCTGTGCAGCCTCTCTGTCTATGCTTTCTCCCTACAGTCGGACAGTCGGACATAGGCTAGGCTTAGGATGAGTGGGTACAGAGGCGCTGAGAAGCAGGCACCCGTACCGCCTGCGCCCACTCATCCTTTATGTGCTCCTTTTGCCCCCCCCCCAGCCCAGGCTCGCGAAGAGAGGAAAGGGCTCTCCGCCGCCTTGCTGGTCTGTTGTATAATGTGCTGCCTGGCAGGTTGAGGCTGGAAGCCCAGGAGCCAGGACGCGGGCTTCAAATTGTTTCACCAGTCTTGCCAGCATCGCGTGTCTCGGGCCCTCGAGTTTTCGTTGTCCCTTTTTGCTCGGGTCGGTCCCTCGCTCGGTTCTGTTCGGGTCCTGGTCCGTCCCTCGCTTCTTTCGGCCCTTCTTCGGGCCCCTCGCTCGTCGTTTCGGCGCCACGGGCAGGAGTGTTCGGCAGACGATCACCCGCGCGCAAATCAAAACCTCCGACAAGACATCCCAACGCATCAGCATTACAACGCGACCTATCCAACATCAGACTCCGCCCAGCTACACAAGCAGCGCTTACACTGCATAACCGACTGCTACCCACATGCTCAACCTTGCTCATGTACACCGCTGGTTCATTGCAAACCATCAAGGCCGACTCAGCATGGGTTTTAAAAGTGCTCAAGTACGACGACCACATACCAAGCATGCACGGATACTACACTGGCAGCATCACGAGCAGCATCCATGACGACATCGACACAGACCAACTCGACAGCACAAAGGTGGAGCTAGCAGCCCACACCTGGGCAATACTATACGCCACACAATAACCGCCCCATTTACACAAGCACATACACACAGACCCAGCAAACGCAATCCAAGTGCTCAATCAGCTCACACACAGCGATGACCCAAGCACAAGGATAGCACAAGTACTGGTCCACCAAGCGTGCAAGCAACACTACATCACCATACACCGCACGCATGGACACGAAAACCTTCCATGAAATGAGCTTGCAGACACACAAGACAAGGCGAGCCGCAGTCAACTCCAACGCAGACACCGCAAGCACAACTGACTCCAGATTTCTTCAACCAGAAACACTACTACAAGACCTACTAGCAGATCACAAACACCTATACAAAACCATCCACCAAAAGGATCCAACCACCGACCACCACACCTAACCTTTGACTCCGCGAGACGGAATTCACTACCAGACCCATGTTGCAATTCATAATACACCACCCACTACTGCAGCCGACGAGCAGGCCAACATCGACATACGCCCACAAGCAGCACCCACGACCACAGAGGACGAGACTACCACGGTTCACCTCAGGATTGCCAGTTGCACCACACAGAGAACAAATGTGGATGCGACAAGCGGCGGCCTACAACACGACAAGCATAGGATTTGTCACATGCTTAGAGGCCAACACGTAGGTACGTGGACCGTATAGGAATGGGAAAGAGTGGAGTGCAGCAGAGCGGAGTGGAGTGGAGTGGAGGGTGGTGAGGAGGGAAGGAGAGCAGACAAGTGGGGATGGGTGAAGTTGGGTGGAAAGGGGCGGGGACGAGTGGGAAGGAGAAGAAGGGGTGCAATGAAAGAGAACGCAACGCTTTATCACGCGGATTGGCGGCACACATGGAGGGGCAACAACAAATGACTGAGGATGACGAAACACCTGTCTTGTATCAGAACGCACGCGCTGTCACGCCGGGAGGCGGAGCACGTGCAGGAAGAACGAGGAATGACGGAGGAAGGAGGGGACGCAGCCTTGATATTCAATGCATGCGCTGTCACGCCAGTTGGCAGAGCACGTGCAGGAAGGAGGGAGGGTGACGGAGCACGAAGAGAAGGCTGCCCTGAAACAGCATCCCCGGAAACCTCCCTGGGAACGTCGTGTAGCATGTGGACGCGTGGCCTCTTAGAGGCTTTCTGAGGTCTCTTGGGAGGCCTCTCGGGAGCCTCTTGGAAGCATGTCGGGGCATCTTGAAGGCCTGCTGGGAGCATCTTTTTGTGCTTCCTGGGGGCCTCAGAGGGGGCCTTTGGAGGCTCCTGGGGCGACTGCTGACGGTCTACGATGGCCTCTTGGGGCGGGGGGCTCGAAAGTCGAGTTCGAGCGCCTTCCCAGGGATCCCTCTTGTGGCTTTTTTTTTGGTCTGTCGTCCCACAGCGGCAGGGAAGGACAGCTCATGGCATCTACCAAAAGTCTGAATTCGGGAGGCTTTGCTACGCCACGAAAAGATCTACACAGGCACCCTCCGACAAATTGTCTTGCATGTACCTCCAGAAGGGCGTCGGTGTACAAAGTCGCTGGCTCCCAGTGGCAATTTATACACCGCCGCCCTCCCCTGAGGCCCAGGAATAATCCAGTGGAGGGTGTCTATGTTTACTTTTTGTGGCGGACTTGTGCTGTGCACATCTCATCATTCGAGGCTGGCCTCTGCAGTCGACAAGAATGGTGCGGCATCCAGAGGAGCATACTGGATTAGGGAAACGTGGCGAACACACGCTTCAGGAGCCGTCGCAGCCTCCTTGTGATCATCTTCTCCCAGCAATCCTCCGACGGCGAAGCCAACGCGCCCAAGATGCTTGACATAGAAATTCAAATACTTGATGCCCTGAATTGTACGGCCATATGCGACCTTCATCTCGACCTTCCCGAATTTAGCCCAAAGCGGAACCACGTTGTCCGCTCCCTCAGCTTGGAAACGGAGACCGCCGGTCTGTTTCGCATCCGCCCACACCCCTGTGATATTCACTTCTTGGAAATACAGATCCGTGCATGATCCACCCAATCGGCGTGCATCAGCCTCCACGCGAAGCAGCGCAGTTGCAGCGGGCTCTCCACGCGGGATGTTTACGAGAACATGATTGCCCGCCTTCATCAGATCGAACCGCTCACCATGAACATTCTGCAAGTGGGGATCCCCAGTGGCAGCCACGGCTCCTCCAGCTCCAGCCGCCGCGGGAGCTGCAGGAGGAAAAGTCGGGTTCGGCGTCGGCCAGCCTGGAGGGTACGTCGGGGACTGCGTCGGGCTAGGCGTCGGGAAGGGCGTCGGGAAGGCCGTCGGGTATGGCGTCGGGAAGGCCGTCGGGTAGGGCGTCGGGAAGGCCGTCGGGTAGGGCGTCGGGAAGGCCGTCGGGTATGGCGTCGGGAAGGCCGTGGGGTAGGGCGTCGGGAAGGCCGTCGGGTAGGGCGTCGGGAAGGCCGTCGGGAACGGCGTCGGGAAGGGAGTCGGATACGGCGTCGGGAAGGGAGTCGGATATGGCGTCGGGTTCGGCGTCGGATATGGCGTCGGGTACGGCGTCGGGTACGGCGTCGGGTTCGGCGTCGGTTTCGGCGTCGGGTACGGCGTCGGATACGGCGTCGGGTACGGCGTCGGATACGGCGTCGGATACGGCGTCGGGTACGGCGTCGGACTGGGCGTCGGGTACGGCGTCGGACTGGGAGTCGCCACGCTGCACATCTGGACATTCGCAGCATAATGGTTGTTCGTAGCACCACCCGTTCTGGCAGTGAAGCTCAGCTGACCACTACCAATCGGTGTTGAGTAACTGTTGATCCAGGCAGTTTTATAATAGTAGCCACTGTCGAAGTTCAAGATCACATTCGCACCGCTGCCGCTGGGCGTGACCTCCACCACGACGTTGTGCCAACGATTATCCTCGAAGAGGGGTACAGTGGTACTCCAATGGCCCGAACCAATCTGTGAAAATATAAACGATCCATACCAACCAATCACTACACCATGATCGTCCCCATTTGAGTAGGAATCAAAACAAACAGACAGGCCATACGCAGATATATCTTCGCCATATTCGCCGTGATCATAGCCGCCGTACTTCATACACATTCCATCAGCACCCGATCCGCCGCCCTGAAGCATATCGAACGAGACCCTGAATCCCCCCGACACCGCAGTCGTGTAGTAGACCCGCCCAACAGCGCTGTTCGCAGTATTTGTCACTACCATCGTGTTGCCCGACCGGTAGGAATTGTACTGATAGACGAAGCTGCTGGCAGAGATCGAGGTGCATGCCCACGTCCCCGTCGTGTCAACAGAGCGTGCCGGCGGTGCAGATGCGATGGCATCGGTTGTGTTGGCCACGATCGCGGTCGACAGTCCAGCGACGTGAGAGATCGCCGAGGCCACCAGCATTGTGTTGAGGCGCTTCACCATGATGAAGCAGACGTGTGGTGACAATATGGAGCCCGGAGGCTGTACGTATTACAGTAATGTATGAGTCTGTTGAACAGTAAAATGCTTGAGCCAAAACGGCGACTGTCTCTCTCGGGGCCCTCTTGGGGCCCCGTTGGCCGTCTGGGGCGCCTCTTGGGCCGTCTTGTGTCTTGGGGTATATCTTGGGCCGTCTGGGGGCCTGTTTGGGGGCCTCGTGCGCCGTGTTGGGGCGCTCTTGGGCTCCCCCTAGGCTGTATTGCGCACTGTGAACATGGAAAAGCGAATGTACTGAAAATGCATGTTTTTCCCCGTAAGGGAATGGGACGATGTTGGCCTCTTGCGGCCCTCTTGAAGGTTCTCTTGGGGCACTGTCGCGGCAGCAGAACGCAGTAGCGCGCGAGGGCATGCAGGGCCGGCGATGTGGCTGGCCAGCTGCCAGCGCGATTTCGTTTCACAGCCTCTTCAGACGACGACGGCCTTGAGTAGCTTACAGAGGTGTTGAAAGCATCGATGGCCTTGAATGTCCAAGCAACGCTTGGACAAGGAGATGGTGACGACAAGAGTGTCCGAATTCTCAATATAATAGTGTCTTGGACAGGAGACGGCATGGAATACGAATGTGACCAAAGGCACGTTGAATTAGTAGTCAGTCGTTTCGGTATTTTCCTGAAAGGGCACCTGAGCACGGATAGCTCGGCAGGAAAAGGGATCGTATCCAGATTACGCCTGGGTAAAATGAAACACCTTCACACCCAGCATGTGTGGGTTCAAGAGAGACTCGCAAACAACTTCGCCATCAAAAAAAACAGCACTGACAAGAACGCAAGCAATATAATGACAAAATATATGGACAAACGAAATTTCGACCGATTCGTACAGAAATCCTGTTACACCGCATACATACACACATACATATATACAGACAGACATACATACATGCATAGAAACATAGAAACATACAGATATCTATATATATACACACACATACATACCTATACGACCACCCTGCGGGTGATAAGGAGGTTGGGGGGGGGCCCAGCAATGGGCAACAGTGGTGAAAGTGATGAATGTTGTTGTGACAATGCCAATGGAGATAGTTGCGTTGCCGCTCGCTCTTGGGGGGCGTGGGTGTCGAGTTGTTTACGTCACCCTTCCCCTGGGAACCTGCCCAACCTGCGCAACGGCAGCTAACGGCGCCATTCGGCTACAAAAGACTGAAGCGCTGGCAAAGCTTGGCGCAGCCCGCGCCGCCTCTTGCACGATCAATCGGTCTCACTCAATCGAACTCATTCGATCAATCTCACCATCGATCTCACAATCGATCTCATCATCGATCTCTCTCGGCCGGTCTCACTATCGATCTCACCAGCGATCTCACAATCGATCTCACTATCGATTGCACTATCGGTTCCCCGAAATCACCCTTTCGATCTCACTCGATCGATCTCACTGTGGAGATCACCGTCGATCTCACACACGATCCCACCATGCCGCTCGACACACATGCCGCTCGACACACATGCCTCTCTCTTTCCGTGTCTCCGCCCAGGCCAGTCGACACGAAGACCCTTTGCGCAAAATCACCATTAACATCATCATCAGCATCTTCATCATCATCATCAGCATCATCATCATCATCAACGTCGTCATCATCATCATCATCACAATCATCATCACCATCATGACCACCATCACCATCAGCATCGCACAATCGATCTCACATTCGGTCTCACTATCGATATCACAATCGATCTCACAATCGACGTCATCATCATCACCATTATCATCATCATGATCATCATCGTCATCAACGACACCAACATCATCATCATCATCATCATCATCATCATCACCGCCATCATCAACATCATCATTACCATCATCATCATCAACACCATCATCATCATAATCATCCACGTCATCATCGGGACACCGACGGGACACCGAAGGGACACCAGCGGGACACCGGCGGGACACCGCGCGGCACCGGCCGCCCGGTCAAGGTTCTTTTGCCCCGGCCGCGCCTCAGCCACACGGAACACCAGCGGGACACCGGCGGGACACCGCGGGGCACAGGCCGCCCGGTCAAGGTTTTTTTGCTCCGGCCGCGCCTCAGCCACAGGAGACTTTCTCTCGCCCGCCCACGCAGCTTCGCCTCGCCAGCACGGCACGCACGAACACGAAACCGAAAACGATTTCCCGATAGGGGGGCTCTCCGTTCCACTTCGATCTCACCCCCCAACCGCCGACATACATGCATACATACATGCGGACATGCACGCATGCATGCATGCATACATACACACAGGCAGACTGACAGACAGACATGCATACGAATTTACATACATACATACATACATACATAAAAACAAACAGACATGCATGCATGCAACGTCAGTTTGTTCATCCGTTGACAGCAGCACGCGTCGCGGCAGCTGAACGAAGTAGCGCGCGAGGGCATGCAGGGCCAACTGCCAGCGCGATTTCGTTTCACAGCCTCTTCGGACGACGACGGCCTTGAGTAGCTTACAGAGGTGTTGAAAGCATCGATGGCCTTGAATGTCCAAGCAACACTTGGACCAGAAGATGGTGACGACAAGAATGTCCGAATTCTCAATACAATCGTGTCTTGGACAGGAGACGGCATGGAATACGAATGCGACCAAAGGCACGTTGAATTAGTAGCCAGTCATTTCGGCATTTTCCTGAAAGGGCGCCTGAGCACGGATTGCTCGGCAGGAAAAGGGATCGCATCCAGATTAGGACTGGGTAAATGAAACACCTTCACACCCAGCATGTGTGGGTTCAGGAGATACTCGCAAACAACTTCGCCATCAAAAAAACAGCACTGACAAAAACGCTGGCAATATAATGACGAAGTATCTGGACAAACCGAAGCTCGACCGATTCGTACAGAAACTCTGTTACACCACATAGATACATACACACATACATTCACACATACATACATGCATACATACATACATACATACATACATGCATATATACATACATACATACATACATACATACACAGAAACATACATACATATCTGTATATATATATACATACATACATACATACATGCATACATACATGCACACATGCACGCATGCATGCATTCACGCATACAGACAGACAGGCAGACTGACAGACAGACATGCATACGAATTTACATACATACATACGGACAAACAGACATGCATGCATGCAACGTCAGCTTCTTCATCCGTTGACAGCAGCACGCGTCGCGGCAGCAGAACGCAGTAGCGCGCGAGGGCATACAGGGCCAGCGATGTGGCTGGCCAGCTGCCAGCGCGATTTCGTTTCACAGCCTCTTCAGACGACGACGGCCTTGAGTAGCTTACAGAGGTGTTGAAAGCATCGATGGCCTTGAATGTCCAAGCAACGCTTGGACCAGAAGATGGTGACGACAAGAGTGTCCGAATTCTCAATATAATAGTGTCTTCGACAGGAGACGGCATGGAATACGAATGTGACCAAAGGCACGTTGAATTAGTAGCCAGTCATTTCGGCATTTTCCTGAAAGGGCGCCTGAGCACGGATAGCTCGGCAAGAACCAGATTACGCCTGGGTAAAATGAAACACCTTCACACCCAGCATGTGTGGGTTCAAGAGAGACTCGCAAACAACTTCGCCATCAAAAAAACAGCACTGACAAGAACGCAGGCAATAGAATGACGAAGTATCTGGACAAACCGAAGCTCGACCGATTCGTACAGAAACTCGGTTACACCACATACATACATAGGAACACACATACAAATCTATATATATATATATACGCACATACATACATACATGCATACATACATGCAGACCTGCACGCATGCATGCATGCATGCATAAAGACAGACCGGCAGACAGACAGACAGACATGCATACGAATGTACATACAGACAGACAGACAGACAGACAGACAGACAGACAGACAGACAGACAGACAGACAGACAGACACACATGCATGCATGCATGCATACACACACATACAGACAGGCAGACAGACACACATACGTATATTCATACATGCAGGCATGCATGCATGCTTACATACAGACATACATATACAAATACCGATATACCTACCTAGCTTCACAAATACTTACATGCATGCAGACATACACACACATACACACATACACACATACACATACACACATACACACGCACATTCATCCACACATTCACACATCCATACGTACCTATCGACCTACCTACCTACCTACATGCATGCATGCATGCATAGAAACATACAGACATTGCATTACACTACATTGAAGCACACTACATGACATTACAATACAATGAAATACACGACCCTACAGCACATGACATTGCATTGCATTACAATACAGTCCACTACATTGCATACAAGCAATACACACATGCATGAATGCAAGCATGCATGCATATATGCATGCAATACATATTTACATGCATTACAGACATTGCATTACACTCCGTACATACATTCATGCAACGTCTACATGTAAGCATACATACATAAATACATACATACATAAATACATGCATGCATGCATGATTACATCCAGACATACATGCATGCATGTATGCATGAATGCATACGTACATACATACATGCATGCATACACACATACATACATGCATGCATACATACATGCATACACACAGACAGGCAGACAGGCTTACATACATCCATACATACATGCATGCATGCATACATACATACATGCATGCATGTATACATACATACATGTGAGAGAGCGTGATCCACCGCCGCTTTACTGTGGAAAATTGCCAACCTTTTCCTCCGGAACCCGGGGGTCCCCCCCCCCCATCCGAAAATCCCCCCCCCCTGCTGGAACCCCTCCCCTCCCCCTCCGTCCTCTCGGCAAAACCCCCCCCTCCCCTAACCCCTCCCCCCCCCCACCCCCCTCCCCCTCGAAAACCGGGGGGGGTCACTACCGGTTCGAACCCCTCCCCCCCCCTCCAGATCTGGAAAACCGGGGGGGGGTCACTACCGTTGGAACCCCCCCCCCTCGAAAACCGGAGGGGGGTCACTACCGGTTCGACCCCCCCCACGCACCGCCAGCAAACGACTCCCGGTCCCTACCACCGCTCGCATCACATCCCCCACTGTTGTTCCCAGCACCACTGTCCTCACCACCACTGTCCCCACTGGTTCCACCACCGTCCCTATTGTCCCCACCAGTGCCCCCACCACTGTCGCACTGTCCCCACTGTTCCCACAACTGTTCCCACCACGGTTCCACTCTCCCCACTGTCTCCACGGACCCAACCACTGCCTATCCCCACTGTCCCCACTGTCCCACTGACTCCTCCGCTGTCCCACTGAGCTGTCCCACTGTTTCCACCACTGTCCCCACTGTCCCCACCACTGTCCCCACTGCACCTCTGTCCCATTGTCCCACCGCCGTCCTCGCCACCGCCTTTACCAGTGTCCCCACCACCATTGTACCCTCCACTGTCCCAGCGTTTCCACCTCATTCCCACTGTCCCCACACCACTGTCCCCACCACCACCGTTCCCACCACTGTCCACTGTCCCCCCTGTTCCCACCATTGTCCCCACCACTGTCCCCACCACTACCGTCCCCACCACTGTCCCACTGTCCCCCCACTGTCCCCACCACTGTCCCGCTGTCCCCTCACCACTGTCCCCACCAACACCGTCCCCACCACTGTCCGCACCCCCACTCGGTTTTCGAGGGGGGGGGGGGGGGTTCGAACCGGTAGTGACCCCCCCCCCTTTTCATGATGAGCTGGGGGGGGGGGGGGGAGGGGTTCGAACCGGTAGTGACCCCCCCCGGTTTTCCGGTGGGGGGGGGGGGGAGGGGTTCGAACCGGTAGTGACCCCCCCCGGTTTTCCGCCAGCAGCGGTAGAACACGCTCTTTCATACATGTAGATGTGTGCATACATGCATGCATGCATACATGCATACATATATACATATATCCATACATGCATGCATACATACGAGAGAACTCGTTTCACGGGCGCTTGCCTTGGGAACATTCGGCGGCGCGTTTCAAACCGGGGGGTGGGCCCCCCCAACACTCGGCGCCGTCGATCAAAACCAGGGGGACTCCCCTCCCCCCAACCCACCCCCTCCCGAAACCCATCCCCCCCCTCGGCGCCGGCGCTGGCGCTGGCGGCCGCCAGCAGCGCCCACGGCGGGGACGCAGCGACGATGACCAGAGGCAGCCCAGGGGGGGGGGTTCAAACCCCCCCCACCTCCCAATGGGGGAGTGGAAGGTTCAAACACCCCCCCCCCTCGGCGCCAGCGCTGGCGGCGGCCAGCAGCGCCGGCGCTGGCGCCGGCGGCGGCGGGGACGCAGCGACGATTACCACCACTACCACCACCACCACCACCGCCTCAACCCACCACCACCACCACCGACAGCACCACACAACCACCACCACCACAGCCACCACCACCACCACAACCACCACCGCAACTCACCATTACCACCACCACCACCACAAAAACCCACCACCAGTACCACCACCACCACCACAATCTACAAAAACACCACCACCACCACCACCGCCACAACCATCACCACTACCAGCAGCACAACCCACCGCCACCACCACAAACCACCACACCACAACCCGCCACCACCACCGCCACCACCTCCACCACAACAAACGTCCACAAACCACCGCCACCACCACAACCCACCACCACCGCCACAGACCACCACCACACCACCACAACCACCACCACCACCACAACTCACCATCACCACAACCACCAAAAAAAACAACCACCACTACCATCACAACCAAAATCTACCACACCACCACCACCACCACCACCACCGCCACCGCCACAACCACCACCACTACCAGCAGCACAACCCACCACCACCACCACAAAACACCATTACCACCACCACCACCACCACGACCGCCACCACCACCACAACCACAAGCACCACCTCCACAAACCACCGCCACAACCACAACCCACCACCACCACCACAAACCATCACCACACTGCCACCAAACCACCACCACCACCACCACAACCCACCACCACCACCACCACAAACCACCACCACACCACCACCAAACCACCACCACCACCACCACCACCACCACCACCCACCGCCACAACCACCACCACCACCAACAAACCACCACACCACCACCACCACAACCACCACCACCGCCACCACCACCACCACAACCCACCACCACCACCACCACCACCACCGTCCTCGTCGACGCTCCCCGCCACCGCCGCCCGCCGCCGCAGGCGCCGGCGCCGGCCAAGAAATGGAAATCGTCGTCCCCGCCGCCGTCGCCAGCCGCCGCCGCGCAGCGCGGCCCGAGGAGAGGGGAAGCAGGGGGGGGGGGGTCGAAACCCCCCCCCTCCGTCACGAGAAGGGGGGCGGGGTCGAAACCCCCCCACCCCCCGTCCGTCACGGGAGGGGGGGGGGGATCGAACCCCCCCCCCTCCATCCATGGGTCGGGGGGGGTCCGGTTCCAAACCCCCCCCCCTCCAAGCGACCACAGAACGCGCTCTTTCATACATACATACATCGCACTGCTAGCATACGCCTAGTGAAAAAGAGTGCCCCCTCCGTTTGGGCATCGCTCAAGAATAGCCCCATGGTAGTCTCCTCCTCCTCCTCCTCATCATCATCCTCCTCAAGCTCGCCCCCTTTCCTCCCCTCACGTTCCCCTTCCTTCTCCTTCGCACCCTCCCCTCGCTTCTCCAGGCTCCATGAGTGCCCAGGCTCTCGAGGGACCTGTTCAGCGGCGGTCGCGCGAAGTCGACCGTCTCCTTCCTCAGGCGGTCCTGGGGAGAAGGAGAGAGAGAGAGAGAGAGACCGAGTACGGTTGGCGTTGGAAAGGCGTGCAAAATCGGCGTCCGAAAGGCCCCCCGCGAGGAGGAGGAGGAGGAGGAGGAGGAGGAGGAGGATAAGGGGGAGGAGGAGGAGGAGGAGGAGGAGGAGGAGGAGGAGGAGGAGAAGGAAATTCCTCCTCCTCCCCCTTATCCTCCTCCCCCTTATCCTCCTCCTCCTCCTCCCTGTGAGGCGATCCCCCGCCAGGGCCCCCTCTCTGCGAGCGATCCCCCGGCCCGGGCTTCCTCGGCGCGCGCCAGCCCCAAGACGGGGGGATATATAGCGTGTCGCCCACGGGCCGGCGGCGCCACGCCGCGCGCCACCTGACCGCCCCCCACCGCGCAGAGTCGGAGGGGCAAAACGGGGCCAGGATCGGGATAAAAATCGCTCCAGAGCGTTCCGTGAGCGCTCTCAGAGCGTTCCGGAAGGCTCTGCAGCGGCCGCGGCGCCCAATGCATCCTCCAAACCCGCCGATTCTCAGAGAGTTCGAGCTATCCCGATCCGATGTTGTCCCGATCTCCGCGTCGTTTTCAGGGGGCCACGAGAACGAGGCGGGGAGGGAGGGCCGGACCGCGACGGAGAGGGAGAGAGGGTGCGGAGGCGGGAGCGGAGGGGGGGGGGCGGGAGCGGCCGTGGGGGGGTGAGAGGAGCGAAAGTGGGACAGAGGAGGGGAGCGGGGGGGGGGGAGGTGGGGGGGGGGCGAAGCCGGCGCGCGGGGAGCGCAGAGCGGGCGGAGGGAGGACGGAGGAGGAGAAGGGGAGGGGGGCGAGGAAGGGAGGAGGAGGGGGATCCTCCTCGCCCACCTCCTCCTGCTCCTCCTGCTCCTCCTCCTCCTCCTCCTCCTGCTCCTGCTCCTCCTCCTACTCCTCCTCCTGCTCTTGCCCCTGCTGCTGCTGCTCCTCCTCCTCCTCCTCGACCACTTCCTCCTCCTCCTCCTCCTCCTCCTCCTCCTCCTCCTCCTCCTCCTCCTCCTCCTTCTCCTGGGGGTGGGGAAGAGGGGAGGGGGGTGGAGGAAAAGGAGGGGGGCGTTCCTGTATGCGCTTCATCGCGGGGCTGCCGACCCAGTTCTCGCCGGGCTTGTCGTCGAAGACGCAGGGGGGGCGAAGAGGGTGCGCCTACCCAAACCCCTGGGGCAGGAAGTAAGGGGAAGGGGGGGAAGGCGGAGGATGTGGAGGGGAGCACGAGAAGGAAGAGGCGAGGAAGAGGAGCAGGATGGGGACGGGAAGTGGGACGGGGAGGGGGGAGGGAGAGGAAGCGGAGGAGTGGGAGGAAGAGGAGGGGGATCGAGACGTTGGGACTCTTGGGTGGGACGGGACGAGCGCACACTGTTTCGCCCCCCCCTGGATGTCCGACCTGGACGGGGACCTCCCTGTGAGCAGTTTGTACATGATGACGCCGACGCAATAGATGTCGGAGGCTGGCGAGTACTCCCCCGTGTACGCCTGAGAGGGCCGCCGCAGGACGGAGAGGGCGAGGGTGAGGAGAGAAGGAGGATGAGGGGAGAGCCCGTCGCGTCGTGAAGAAATCACGACGGAAGGGGTCGGCCACTTGCAGCCCTCAGGAATCCCTCGAGAATCATCAGCCTTGGGGTTCCTGGGGATGGATGTGTTATGTCAGGTCATGATGTGGTGCGATGTGCTAGGGTATGGCATGTTATGGTCGTTGGTGTTGTGATATGCGATGTTATGATACATTATGTATGCTCCGCTATGACATCATAGGTTGGCTTGTGTCGTGCTATGATATGTTATGACATGTTCGTTTATGCTAGCAGTTGTTATGAAGTGGTGGTGTACTGTGCTGTGACATGCGATGGTATATAATGTTATGTCGCGCTATGTCATGGTATGATAAAGCATGGTACGGAATGATGTCTGATGTGATGATGTGATATGACATACGTTGGTACAGCATAGTATGTTATTGTATGACATGGTGTGTCAATGTGGTGTCATGTGCCCCGCTCTGTTATGTTATGAGGTGTGGTGTTCTGATATTGTATGTATGAACTGCCCTGGTATAGCTTATGATGCCACGGTACGATAGGCCTTGCTGTTTTATCATATTGTATACCAGGCTATGGTAGCATGTGTGTTGCCATGATATGGAATGGGATGTGCTATGATGATACGGTGTGGGATGGTGTGTTCTGTCACAGTATGTTATGGTATGCCCTGTTATGTCATAGTGTGTTATGACAGGGTATGTTATGTATAATGTGCTCTGTCAAAGCATGTGCTATGCTGTGTATTGATATGACGTGGTATGACATGTAATGTTATGATGTGTCATGTGCTGACTTGGTATGTTCAGTGATGATGCATGTTGTTATTGTGCGAATGCCTTGTCATGGCACAACATGCATTGCACTGCGGTGATGTGGTGTGGTATGATATGCTATGTCATGGTATATGACGGGATTATATGATGTGTGATGGTATGGTATGCTATGCCCTGGTATGAGATGGTATGCAGTGTGGTGGTGTGCCCTTTTCTGTATGATCAGTTGTGGCATAGCTTACCCGTTTATGTTATGATGTGTTGTACTGTGTAGAACCTTGTGTGTCACGCTCTGTCATGTTATGGTTTCTCATGTTATGCAATGCTCTGCGCTGATGTGTTATGCGCTACGAGTTGTCTGTTCGTCGAAGGCGCGAAGCGGGACACTCGGTGGACCTGGGGATCTGGCGGCCGCGGTATGCAGAGTGGGCGGGCTGGCGCAAGGCCCGACACTCGGGGGACCTTCGGTTGACCTGGGGATCTGTCGTCGGCGGCGGCGGCAGCGGCGCAAACATCGACGACGACGACGACGACGACGACGACGACGACGACGACGACAACGGGGGGGGCGACGCGGGAATCATGTGACAACATCCCCGTGGAATCCCACAGAATCCCGATGACTCCTGAGTAACCTTTGGGGATCCTGAGGAGTCCTGAGGAATCCCCAAGACTCCTGAAAGATCCTGAGGAATCAGACCTGAAGAATCCTGAGGAGTCTGGAGAAAACCACAGGAAACCCGATGAACCCACACGAACTCGCAATAATCCGCGGGACCCCGATAGGGATGGATACAGCTCTGGCAGCACCCCTGTAGGGATGGATACAGACCTAGCAGCACCCCTGTAGGGATGGATACAGACCTGGTAAGGTCCGTATAGGAGTGAACTCCGAAGGGCTTTTTAAAGATCGCCTTCGGTTGGTTCTACGGGTGAACGTGGCCAAATGCCGAGTCGGTTGGTACTCCAGGTGAGACCCTTGCACGGCTTCCACCCTCCCCCCCAAACAAAGACCACCAACACCCAAACATCACGAACCGAACCCCAAACACCACGCACCAAACCGCAAACCCTGATTCCTAAACACCGCGCCCCAAACACCAAACCCCAAACACCAGACACCGAACACCAAACACCAACCACGCCCAAAACCCCAAACACCAATCACCAAACCCCAAACCCAAAACCCCAAACACCAATCACCAAGCACCAAACCCCAAACACGATACACCACGCCCCAAACACCAAATCCCAAACACCAAACCCCAAACCCCAAACCCCAAATACCAAATACCACGCCCCAAACACCAAGCCCAAAACACCGAACCCCAAGCACCAAACACCAAACCCCAACTACTAAACCCCAAACACCAAATCCACGCGCCCCAAACACCAAACCCCGAACACAAAACCCCACACACCAAACCCACAACACCAAACCTCGAACACCAAACCCCAAACACCAAACTTCAAACCCAAAATACCAAACACCAAACACCAAACCCCAAACCTCAAGCACCTAACACCACGCCCCAAACACCAAACCCAAAACACCAAACCCAAAACACCTAACCTCAAACCAGACACCAAACCCCAAACATCAAACCGCAAACACCAAACCACAAACACCAAATACCAGACACCAAATTCCAAACACCAAATCCCAATCACAAGACAACAAAACCCCAAGCACCAAACCCCAAACACCAAACCCCAAACACCAATCACCAAACACCAAACACCACGCACCAAACCTCAAGCACCAAACACCAAACCCCAAACGCCAAACCCTAAACACCAAACCCCAAACACCAAACAGCAAATTCCAAACACAACCCCCAAACCCCAAACCCCAAACACTAAACACCAAACACCACCACCCCAAACCCCAAACACGAAACCCCAACCACCAAACACCAAACACCGAACACCAAAACTCCAATACAACACTTCCTCGCTATCACGATTTACGTGGTCCCACTTTGTGCTTACTTCTGTTACTCATCCTCCTGTTCCACATGTTTCTTGAGAGTTCACGGGCAAAGGGAGGCAGAGGGAATTCAAGGGCAACCAGGGTACCTGAGAGATAACAGGAGGATTGGTTCGAACGAGAGCGACGGGAAGGATGAGGAAGATGATGATGATGATGGTGATGGTGATGATGATGATGAAGAGGAGGAGGAGGAGGAGGCGGATAAGGAGGAGGGGAAGAGCAGGGGGATGATTGAGGCGATCGAAGGAAGACGAGGGTGATGATGATGATGATCATGATGATGATGACGATGCCGACGATGCTGATGATGATGGTGATAATGATGATGGCGACTACGACGACGGTGATGATGACGATGACGATGGGGATTACGATGATGAGGATCAGGAGGAGGAGGACGAGCAGGAGGAGGAGCATGAGGGGAAGAGGACGAGGAATACTGATGCGGACGAAAGTGAGGATGAGGAGGCTTACTGATGAGGACGAGGGGGACGAGCGGGATGAGAAAGAGAACGATGAGGATGAAACGGATGAGAACGAGGAGGACGAGGAGGAGGAGCAACATCATGGGCGGAGGTGCAGGAGGATGAGGTTGAGAACGATGACGATGAGGAGGAGGAGGCGGGGGAGGAGGAGGATGAGAACGATGAGGATGAGGAGAAGGAGCGGCAGCATCAGGAGGGGAGGATGAGGATGAGGCTTGAGGAGGAGAGGCTAGAGGAAACTGAGGGGCAATAAGGATGATGATGAGGAAGGGGAAGCTTGCCATAGCAATGCTGAGGCTGGTAATTGTCATGGTGATGCTGGTCAGCCCATC